GCTTATTATAATGTACAATTGTTGTGGTTTATAATAATGTACATTTTTTTACAACAGTATAAACAATAAAATAATGTTTATAATAGTAGGAACATAGTCCATTTTATAAGTTGTTTGCTATGATTATCTGGTATAAATATTATAATACTAAATAATAAGGCCAGTAATGACATTTTCTATATAATAAGTAATATTTTGAGTATTTTTGGTTATGCTTTTTTAATTATATTTTTATCAATTTAGTGGAAGCTAATATAGAAGTGATGATTTCCAATCTAAATAAGTGTTTTGACGGTATGAAAGCTGTTATTGAAACAACTGAAATAATGGAATCTGAGTTTTTAGTTTGCAAATCTCCATTGTTAAAAACAGAGGACAACTTTTTATCATTGGCATCTTCTGGGTCGAGTGATTGTTTATTATATTGTGTTTTATTTTCTTTACCATCTGCTGAAGGTGCCAAATATATTGCCAGATATTTTGAGTTTGGAAGTTTAAGTGGATGTTATCGGAACCTCATTCATTCAAAATTAAAAGAGAAATTTGAAATTACTTCAGTTCTTCCCTATCAAGTCTACACAAGTCAGGATGTAGAACCCCATTCGAAAAGACAAGATAACCTCTATCAAAAGCAGAAACCACAAGGTATCTAATTCTATAAATCCTTGGAATTTCGCAGACAGTATATATATATATATATATATATATATATATATATATATATATATATATATATATATATATATATATATATATATATATATATATATATATATATATATATATATATATATATATATATATATATATATATATATATATATGTATATACTGTATATATATATATATATATATATATATATACTGTAGCCAAATAAACGTATCCACTTGTTTATTTATAATGAAGTTTTATGTAATAGCGCGCTATTATATACAAGGGCGGATCAATAGGGTTAAGGGGGTAATTACCCTCAATCGATAGTTTGAATGTCTGAATAAAATTGTGCGGTTCAATTTTTCACTGTGTGATTGCTTGCATAGATTGTTTACATATTTCTGATCTACTCTTGATTATATACAGTTGTTATGAATTATACAGTTATGTATATTATACAGCTTTTATATATTATAATAGCGCAATTCTGTTAAATACTGTAAAAAAAAAAGTGCTGTACACTTCAAGAGTGATGTGTCCAAACGGGCGCAGAATAAACCAACAAATCATTAAATATACTGGATGTCACTTTCCCCCGCCTAATTATGGCTAAAAAATTATAAGAAAAATACAGAACTTCACTAATTATTTTAGAATTTATTTTAAATATTTATTATTTAATTGCGTTTTACTTAACTTTGGGTAACTTTGGGTAACACTAAAGTTATCCTTTTCCGCTTTTCGTTTCTAAAAACGTGTCTAACATTCAATATCAATAAACTTCTAGTTCTAAAACTTCTAATATTTATGAAAACTTGCCAAAAATATTCTGTAGACTATTTTAAATACTTTGATAGCATCCATAAATGTGCTCAGTAAAACCACTGATTTAGGACCCCTTCTACTTGTACGCACCAGTACGTTTTTAATGTTCTCCTTAACTTCTCTAAGTACATGCGCATTATTTATTACAAAATCAAGACTTTTATATATAAAACAAAAGATATCAAGTTTAGGAGAAATGGAGAAAGCGAGACAGGCAAACCACGTACGTACTAGCTGGCTTTAGTACCCCTCTCTACCCCGTTTACGCAGACCCTGGGTTTTACAAATTTAGTATTTTTATTTTTAAGTCAAAAATAATTAAGTAAAAAAAATGCCCTTGGTAGATAATTAATAATTTACTGGATGACCCCAATCACCAAAATTAAAACGTTATAGAAATAATAAAGTACTTTTAATATTTTTTTGTCCACTGATGATGCCCCATAAAAGTGCTGCCCGAGGGGAAACCGATCCGTTCTAAGAAAAAAGCATTTAAGGTTTTACATTTAATTAATGAATTTGACCTTCTTATGAAAAAGATTGGTGGTTGGTGAGTTTGTTTTATCTACAGTTTACCGATTTGCACCAAATTGTTTTATCTTTCTGCATTTAGTAACAAATTTCACATATCTTTAGCCATATAAAGTATTATGTTTAAACTGTTTAAACATAATACTTTAAATGGCTAAAGATATGTGAAATTTGTTACTAAATACAGAAAGATAAAACGATTTGGTGCAAATCTGTAAACTGTAGATAAAACAAACTCACCATCAATTATATAGTTTAAGTAAAACAATATAATAATACAGATAAATATAACTTTAACTTTAATAAATATAGTGTAACTATATAATAATATAAAAATGACAACTCACTTTTAAGGAACTTCTAAAAGAAGCTTTTAATCTTACTGATGTTTAGAGTAATGGAAAATAGAAAATAAATGAGAAACTTATTCTTTTATTTTTTTCCTGAGTTATATATAATATTATTCCCGGATAATAATATTTTTGAAAAGTTTTTTATTTCTGAGTAGTAATCCAATTTAAATCGATTGTTTACAGTGTATATACGTATTTTTAATGTATATTTTATGTGTATCAAGTATATTTAATTTTTAGCGAGAAAAAACATATATAGTTCTGTTTTGGAGCGAAATTTTTTTTGCAAGATATTTGAATTTTACCCATAGTTGCAAAAATTGAATTATTTTTAGATTCCATTCATTGTACGATGATTCTTATTACACTAAGGGGTATTTTAAACCAATAAAGTGATTTTCACCAAAACCAGACTTAAGTTTTGTTTTGTGACGATATATAAAAATCCCCTGAGTTTTATTGCATAAAAATTCACCAATCAGGGTTGCAAGATTTTTTTGGCGTTCAAATGCTAAATGTTCAAACTGGTCAGTTACATGGACCAGTGCAGTGATTTATTTACTCTTCACTACATTTAGGAATAATTTCTTTATGCTGTATGGTGAGAATAATTTATGGTCATAATACTTTTTTTTAGCTCAAATTTTGTAGTTCTATTTAAAAAAAGCACTTATGAGAGTATATAGTAACTTTAGGACACACAAATATCACCCTAAAAAAGTCTAAAAACAATATGTGTATTCTGTAACTCCAGTGTATATACTCTATACACTAGAGTTACAGAATAGAAAAACATAATGTTTGAAAATATTTAGATGAAACTGTTTATGATTATAGAAAACAGTTTAAATAAGTATGTAAATATATATTTGTAATACTCAATTAAGTGCAAACGATCGATTAGCTTCACTTGTAAATTAGTGATGCTAATCGATTATATATTGTATGTGTATATAAAAGATATGTATATAAAAGACATAACTGTAAATATCTAGGGAATTAGAATTGTATATAAAATATGTTGACGTACATTAGAAAATAGAGGCGTTTTACGCATAACTTATAACGCTATCTTTTGTGAAACTACAAAATATTTGTTTGCTTATTTCTTCAAAATATGATAAACAATTCAGGGTCATGGCCTTCCCTATTTTCATTTATAATCAGTTATCTATTAAGCATATGTATAAAAGAGTGTTTTATGAAAATTGAAAATTGTTTCGGTCATTTGATTTTTATGACACACGTTTTTTTTATTTGTTTTTAGTTCTACGAAGTATGTTTACAAGTTTTCACTTTTTTCTTTAAATGTTGGCCTATCTAGTTTATCAAAGATAGTCAAAATCTTCCAATCTTAGATAAAACAAAGCGTGCAGTAATTACTAACAAATAGCACTCTATCAGTAATAGCACTAACAAAATTATATTTTCTAATCCGAATTGAATTCATGAGTTAGGGGTGTTGTTGTAATGAGCTTTAGCCTAATTAGCCTAATTAAGTTTTATTACCGTAAACAGTGGTTACTTTGAACAGCGGGCTATTTTTTTATATTCAAATACAAATCGATTTCTTAGTTTTATCTGTAATTATAAGAAGTATTTATATGAAACTATTGGAACCTTTTACGCTAGGTGGTTTAAAGCACACAAAAAAAGGGAACAATAAAAAAAAGAGCTCATTTGTGTTTGTGGGGTGTTAAATGGGGCGTATTTTCAGCCAAGACAGGGCCCATAAATAAATTTGCTCCGGTTTCGCCTTGGCTCTCTACATCCCTGGCCATACCGGTTCGTAGAGCCGAGCCAAAACTATTTTTTAGAGGAGCCGAATCCGCAAAATTCTAGCTGCTCCCGGATCTTGAGTTTTTTTTAAATATGTCAATTTCACTTCTTAATTAAACTAGAGTTAAAAGAACTAGTTAGAAGTTCTTTTAAGAACTAGTTAAAAGAACTAGAGTTATGAAGTTAAAAGTTTACTTAATATCACGGAAGGGGAAACAACAACCCTATGTTATTTTTTTGAATTTCTAAACGGTACTGAACATTAAACTCAGTACTGTTGAGAGTAAATGTATAATTAAACCAAAACAAATCTATGGTATATTGTCATTTTTAATTTTATTTTAGAAGGAATTTTATAGCTTGATTTGACAGTTTTTGAAATAACTTGATAGTTATTTCAAAAACTGAAATAACTATCAAGAAGGGGTCGGCTTGTCAAAACCTGACAGAGTTTGACAAAGGGTCAACCCCCCCCCCCCTCTACTTGTAGTAAGCATGCGATAGTAATGTAATTTCTAATTCTGAGGCAATGGGAGTAGACAAATTATTATTGATGGTATCGTTTTTAATAATAAAAACGTAAAACAAAAACTGTTATACAAGAAGACTATTGTAGTTTATTAGGTTGATCTCGGGGATCTTTCGTATTTTTTTTTTATAGGTGAAAATCGTTTTAAGTGTGTAGTTTTCCTTTTCTAACGTTTTTAGATTAAAACTCATCACTGATGAAAAACCCTGTATAAAATAAAAATATTAAACAGATCACCCTAATAGGGAAGTAAAAAATGAACAAAAAAAGCTTAAAACAAACCAGCCTAATATTTAGGATATAATATAATAGTATTTCAAACAATTGCTTAATTTTGAGATCCTTGCTGAACAATATTCAGCTTTCTTTGAAACGAGCTTCGCTTTGATTTATTCCAAAGATATATAAAAAATTGTACGTGAAACATAAAATGCGCTTGCGACATTAACTTTGCTGAACGCTTGATCTTTTGAATATAACTATTAAATTGTTCGCATATGGACGTATTTACCTGAGATGAATTAGTCAAACGATTGTACTTAAAAGCATTGGAACACTTATGCGTGTATCCATGAAAAATATCATGAAAGAATCTAGTCTTCGAAAAATACTGCGACTCTCTGTTTTTACAATACTCAGATAAATTGCATGCAAAATCATAAAATAGATCGTCCGGAGCTTCTGGACAATGAGTATAAAGCGACGCTGCAGGATCCTTTCGACCTTCACTGCCAGGAATTATATGAAATCCATAGCAATGGCCATGAACAGGACAGAACCAAAAAAATGCATAAGTTGTTCCTTTCTTTGAAACAGAAGGAAATTGTTTATCGCAGCTGACATCTGGATGGTCATCAAAAACAATTTTTTTGCGATCTTCTTTATCTATAGTAAAGTCGCGCATCCTTCTAATTTGGCATCCATGTTGAGTAAAGTAGTATGCGCGACCATACTTAGCTGGATTATAAGAATTTTCAATTACTCTGATATCTCCACAAGGTTCATTGAATGTATGAATGTTAATTATAGCTTTTGCAATATAATCAACAAGCATTGCTACATCAGAGCGTGGGTTTCCATTTGAAGAACAATTAACAGAATTAAGTACAAGTGATGACAATTCAGGGCAGTAATATTTAGATTTATGTACAAAAATTTTCACATCATTAATAGTAACGCAATTTTCCAATACCAACATCATAAAAGATGATACTTCAGAACAAAATCTATATGGAATTAAGGAATCCATTGATGCATCAGCTGCAAGTAACAAAAAAAATTCTGCAAGTGCTGTTCTTTCTTGCGGAGAGCAATCTATTCCAGTTAACATTCTGTTAAAAGCAGCTTTGGCATAAACTGGTATACAAAAATCTATAGAGGCTGCTAAAGATAATACATCATGATTAGTGCACTGATTCATTATCGTTTCGCAAACAGTGCGGATAGATTTTCTTGCTTGTGCAAAATCTTTAGGGTCTTTTTCTTTGGTATTTGGAATGAAACACCGATCAAATTTCCGGAATGTTGTTTTTGAAACTTCTTCAATTTCTGGAGTCTCAATAGGTTTTACAAAGGTTTGCTTAAACCCAATACCAAGTTTCGTTCCATCACAAGCTAAAATGCGATTGCTGTCTCCGCACATTGTGCACTGTTCTCGAAAGTCAATCCCCATGTGAGATGTCCATCCAAAAAACCAACTAATAAAAACCGAATTTGACATAAATGGCAACGCATTGTTACACATACGCTTGTAACGATTACTCACATTAGTAAAATAACCGCTAAAGGTTTGACCACTGGTTTGAACGGAATCAACGAAGTCCCAACCAATTTCATACCCAGCACATGTAGATGAGGATATTCGAAACACGCAATGTTCTGCACCATCCCAATACCTTATACATGACATTCCAACACAACGTCGAAAGAAAACATGCACTAGTATAACACCTCTGTCTGTATATAAATTGGATGTTCCATTGGGGAAAAGTTGTCCTTCTGGATGAGCATCGGTAGTCCATCCAGCCTAAAATACAAATCAATTAACCTAAAAGGTAATACAGTACCTTTATCTAAAATGTCGCATAAATAATTAAAAGAATTGTAATCTAAAATTACTGATAATAATATAATTAAAATGTAAGTAAAAACCTACCCCACATTCGCAAACACCATCAAAGGAAGGATAAACTGATTGATTATGTATCCATTGGACTCTTTTATTTAATTCTCTTACCAATCCTGGAGAAAATGGATCTCGATCCACTTGTTGCTTACTGGGGGCACTTATACCAAATTTCCAAAGACCCGTTGCATCATCAAATAAATCAATCCACTAGAAATACACGTGTTACAGTAAAAAAGAAACAAAAAAGATAATTAAAAATTTGTCAAAGAATAATTTCAAATTTTACTTTTTGGATTTCAAAACATATTTTGGAATTTTACATAGATTTATTTATTGTGTATTTATTATTATTAATGTAATTAATTGTAACATTAATTAATATATAAACAATACTAATATTATGTTATTAAAAATGAATATTATAAATTTAAAAGTAATTGAAACGTACAACGCTCTAACCACTGAGCTATTCTCTTATGTAGAGAAGCTGGAGTCGAACCAGCGGCCTTCGCACGTTTTTTTTTTAAATGTGAACATTAATTGTAAAATTAGTAGCAATTTATTGTTAATTAAATTATAAAAGTAAATTATTAGTGCAACTATTCATAAATAGATTTACGTTGTATTAGTTGTTGTTACGTTGTATCGTATTAAGCATTAACAGATTTAAAACTTATAAAGTTTGCAACACCTTACTGTAAAAGACTTAAGAAAAGATAAATAAACACTTACCTTTTCATCTGGAAGTTCACTACCATCCATTGGAAGTACATCAGTATCAAAATCTTCATTCAAGTCACTGTTAAAAGAACTCAAATCCCAACATTCTCTTAATTTCACTAGATGACAGCAGACTTCGCTTACACTTTCACTATTTAAGTATTTTAAAGCTCTTTTAGAGCCTTCATTAACCATGCACGAAGAGTTGTGGCATTGAGCAACTCTCCTATTACTACCTGAAACTTTATAAATAGTCACAATAGCTACAGATTGATTTGCTACAACAGAAAATTTATTGACATTAAGTCGTGATGGTAATTCAATGACTGGAATTGAAGAAAACTTGAGCCCTTCATTCATTACAAAAACATTTATATAACAGGTATCATTTAATGCTGGCTCTACAAATGGAGCCAATAGAGAAAGTAGGCTTTTTAACAAACGGACATGCAGGCAATAATTAACAATAGTAGCATCTACATGGCTGCTTGAAATTGAAAATATCTTGCATGAACAATTATAAATTGGAGACAAAGTTGAACTTGTGACACTGATGTGAATGAAGTCATTACACTATAAGTATAACCAATAAATTTATTTTTGCAAAATATAAAAAAAGTGTATGTATTTTGACAAATAATAAAAATTCACAATAAATTTAAATAAAAATTTACTTACAAGGAAATCACCAGTATCAGAATCATAATCATTCATTAAAACTATATGCATAGTTTCATCCATATATCTCCATTTTAAAACACCGTGATTAAACAACTGTCCACAATAATATTGAAACAGATTTAATTGAACAGACGATGTGTTCGACGATGATGGAAGTTCTTCAACATTACTACAATTAATATTTGTTGATAACGTTTCGATAGATATTTTATTAAAAGGCCTTTTGCGGTGCCCATACGTTTTACCTGAAAATTAAAGTTTCCAATAATCTGTAAATCATACACACACATACACATAGATGTATATACAGGGTGTTATACAGGAACAAATTTTATACCGCGGTTTATTATTTATTTGCAGTATTGAGAATAATTTTAGTTGTTGTATTACAAATTAAAGGGAATTTTATAGAAATTACCGCCAAAAACTTGAAAAACACTATTCAAAAAAAAAGGTCATTGGCTTTTGGGAATAACAAACTGCCATAAATGCAACCTGACCTAGTGTGAGCATTAAAATTTTATTTAAAAGTAAAATACATACAATAATTGATATCTATGGACACCTGCAGCAAAATCTGCAGATTATTGGGTTCTGGTAAAAAGCAGTACACTGCCATTCCACATAGTCACAGCGTGACATTTGACTCTTTTTGATTTTAGAGCATTTAAAATGAAAAAATTACAAACTTAAAATAATAATAATCTTGTTAAAACATTTGAGTTTCTAAAAGAAAAACTTCTAACTTCTAACAACTTATAGATTTCAAGGTATATGCATTATAATGGTTGCGTCACACATATATATATATATATATATATATATATATATATATATATATATATACATATATATAATATATATATATATATATATATATATATCAGCATATTTCAAAGCTTGCCAATCAAATATGATTTTTTCACAAAAACAGGTTATTTTTCCTTGAATTTTTTTAAATGTTCTTAAAAATAGCCAATCATTGATCGGTCGTTATTTCAAGCGCTGATATATACATATATACATATATAATATATATATATATATATATATATATATTTATACATATATATATAAATATATAAATATATATGTATATATATATATATATATATATATATATATATATATATATATATATATATATATATATATATATATATATATATATATATATATATATTATATATATATATTTATATATATATATTTATATATGTGCATATTTATTTATATACACATATATATGTATATATAATAGAATAAATTTATAAACAAATTTAAATTCTTACTGACATTCCATTCCTGTTGTACAAATATTACATTGTTGTAATATTTATTTAATTATTTATTTAACCATATTAACAAAAAAAACAATAATTTACAAATATTTGTCGTAAATTTTCAGAAATTGGTTAGGTGTCACTCATATAGTTACAAACTAGTCAATCGAGTGACACCTAAAAAACATAAAAATCTTAACAACAACAAAAAAAGAATTTCTTTATTGTTAAATTATTGTTGTGGTATTTCTATAGGTAGTTAATTTCTATAGGTAGAAGTTAAATGATAACATTAATTATCAAACTTACTTTGTTTCTTATTACATGTTATATCAGCATCAATGTTAACCATCAAAACTTCTGAATTTTGTAAAAAAATTAAATAAAGTTAGTAAATAAAATGATAAGTTATAGATGGAGTCAATATTGTTTTCTCATAATTAGTTAACAAATTCTCATAAAAATTAACAAATTTGAGTTTGATAAAACTTACTTTTTTCCTTAGCATATGGGATAGTAACATCATTTCTACCCATAAGAACCTCTAACACTGCTGAAACTATTTTTCCAGGATCTTCACGATAACAACATGCCTAATTAAAAGAAATGTGAAATCCAAAATAAATAAATAAAAACCTCAATTATCAATTGATTACCAAAACAAAAATCTAAAATGAACAAGATTTTAGCTTTTATAGAAAAATTCAAAATCTAAAAATACTTGTATGATTCTATTTCTTGGGGAGGCAGCAAAATATCTAACACAAGTTGGTAATCTTTGCTCAAACTTTATATTGGTGGATATCTGATTACTCCAACTCCAGAAATGATCATTTGGAATAGATGTTAAAATGTAAATTTGCTCTTCTAAAGTCAAAATATTTGATTGTTCTAATTTATAGCAAAATACTTTACCATTGTCATCTCTGACACAACGATAATCCAACAAAAGCTTTTCCCAATATTCATTTTCACCATCAGTACAAAGTAAAAATCTAAATTATTAGCATAAAATAAAAGACACTTTAACAGATTGTCATATTTCTTAAATTTAACTCGACAAGTTAAGCAATCTATCAATTATAAAGTTTTTTGAAACAAAACTAGTTAAGTAAAAATAGTGCAACACTTTCACACAACACAAACAGTAATAATAAAATAAATCAAATCTATAAAACCTTTTATTATCTAATTCATTAGATGTGGACCATTTCTGGAATTTGTACATCGAATAGCACAATATAAATAAACATTTGCTGCTTTTTGATTCAATATGTGGCTTAATTAGATTAAAAAGTTTTTGAATACTACTTTTGTTATTTGAAATTTGTCTGTCATAAAACTTATTTTTTGAAAAATTTGGTGTTTTTCTTCCTAATGTAAATAATAGAAATATAAGTTAAAATAATATAGCAATGTGTTATATATATATATATATATATATATATATATATATATATATATATATATATATATATATATATATATATATATAAATATATATATATATATATATACATATATATATACATATATATATATATATATATATATATATATATATATATATATATATATATATATATACATATATATATATATATATATATATATATATATATATATATATATATATATATATATATATATATATATATATATACAGTATATATATATATATATATATATATATATATATATATATATATATATACAGTATACATATATATATATATCTATATATATATATATATATATATATATATATATATATATATATATATATATATATATATATATATATATATATATATATATATAAATATACATATATATATATATATATATACATATATATATATATATATATATATATATATATATATATATATATATATATATATATATATATATATATATATATATATATATATATATATATATATATATATATATATATATATATAACCTTAGAATCCGTAAATTTTTGTTAGACTTAACTTGATATTATACTTTAAAAAAATCTCACTTCAATGACTATTTTTAATTTTTAGTAGGCCGGATAGGGTGGGAGAGGGGTATTTCAAAAATGTACGTACGATTTAGGGAGAAGGGAGCTTAAAATTACGCATGGCAACAAGGAGGGTCAAATTTCAAAATTTTTGGTGTGCGTACTATGTGGACGACCCCTAACAAAAAAGTCTTTCTTGCTATCAGTAAATGATTTTTTTAACCAGATATCCGACTGAGTTCAAATTTTTAGAGTTGTTTCTTAATAGATAAGACTCATCTCAATTAGATTTAATTGGTATTTTACTTTTGGTTTTTGTTTCGATAATATGCTAAAAAACTAAAAGAGTTTTTCTAGTAAGCTTTTGTTTATTACATTATAATCTATCAGTGTTGTACGTTTTAGCTTATACTGTCATACAAAGGCTATGAAAATGTTGTTTCCTTTTTCATTAATTCGGCAAAAATAAAATAAAAAATTGGAAGATTTGGGATTCTGTTAGAACTAATATAAGGCTTCTAAAAAAAAAAAAAAACGCTTGTCGGTAAAATTAGTTTTTTCATTTGCATTCCCCACATCTTCGTCGTTCGGTAAGGTCCTGCATAAATAGAACAAATAAAAATATTTGCGCAAAAACAAAATTTGACACTTTATGTAAAAAATTATTTATTTTGTATACCAATTAAACAACATCAGAAAAATATTCAGAAAAATAATCTACAACATTATCAAAAAAAAAAATTATAATCTGTTATAAAAAATATAAATAAAAATTCTTATAATCATTTCATTATATCCTCTATTTTTTCCATTCTTTGCTTTAACACTCCATTAATTGAAATCCGTCTATTTGTAAAACTAAAAAGGTAGAATTTTTTGATTTAATAGAAAAACAAAAAAATTAAAAATTTTACTATTAAAAACATTTAAATAATAAAAAAATTTAACAAAAAATCAAATTTTAGTTGACAAAATAAAGCTTATGCATTAAAGGATCGTCCATAAAATAATATCTAACCTCGCCAGATTTACCAATTATAGTTTACCTTAAGACCTTTAACATCAGACTGTGCCTTAATGATATGAAATAATTTTTTTTAAGTATGTAAAAGAAGAAAATTTTATTGAGGCTTTTGCGATATTGCTAATATATGTTGTTTTTGTCTTAGGGTTAGCCCCTAACACAAATAAAAATTATTTATGTATGTACCACGATTATATCATGGTATATACAATGTAATCAGACATAAATAACACCCTAATATCCTGCAAACTTATATTTACAGGATATCAGACTCAAATATATCAATAATTTTTCTTTATTTATCGATGGAGTGAAACTTATATTTATCTAAAATAAAATTTGTTGTTCCTAATACTCTTCTAAATATTTAAAAAAAAAGGCAACTAAATTTGATTTTTTTAATTTCACTTTGAGAAATTAGATTGAGAAATTAGAGACACAAAATTGAGATTTTTATATAATTATACAGTTTTATAACTTATAAACAGTTTTTTGTTAGTTTCCTTTTTCAACTTAGCGATTCATATTCAAAACTAGAAACAGTCACACGTATATTAACTAACAATATAGTATATAGTAACAATATAGTATATAATTATTACTTTTTTTTTTAATTGTAGTTTTTACATCTGTGTTTCCACACTTGCGTGGTACGAATGGTTCTCCATAATGACATAAATACCATTATGAAAAAATTGAAGCTTTTTTTTACAACCGGATGCCCTTCTTGACATTAACATGAAGCAGGCTGTACTAGAGTAAATATTATCAGTAGCAGGATAACCTGACAGCAGGCTGAACAATATAAATAATAGAATCATATAATCTATGCACAAAGTTGTAAAATAAAAATACAAATGTGTACAAAGGTCTACAAAGTTGTAAAAATGCATACAAAGGTTTAAAAAAGGTTTACAAATTTGACAAAATTTGTACTAAGGTGTAAAGCTAAATATAATTTAATTTTAAAATTTATTATCCATTAAATTCTGACACAGCTTTGTCAGAATTTAATGTATTTGTTCAACCCCAACATGACATGTTGATGACTTGCTGAAAACAGAATGATTGGTTTTAACAACCCTTGAATTAATAGCTTGTTAACTCCTAAACATATATATAATATATAATATATGTATATACATATATATATATATATATATATATATATATATATATATATATATATATATATATATATATATATATATATATATATATATATATATATATATATATATATATATATATATATATATATATATATATATATATATAACATTCGTGAGTTAGTTAATACTTAACAAATCCAAATAATCAATAAAGGTAATAAGAGTAATAATAATATGATATTAATATAGTAATAATAATATAGTATAATAACACTAATAATTGAAACAAAGATAAACATCAAGTCAAAATCAAAGCTAAAATATCAAATGAAATTTTACGCTTTATTGATATTTTGTTATATAAGATATTTGGCAATTTATGAACACTCCCTGCCTGTTCTCCTAAATCAGTTAAAGTACCAATAAATATATACACTAGATGTATGTAAAGTTAGTTATTAAAAAAAAAAAAAAGTACAAAGGTCTACAAATGCAAACAAAGGTGTACAAAGTTGTAAAAATGATATATTTATGTGTGTATGTATTTATGTTTAGAGGAAATATTGGTAGGGGTTTAACAATTTAAATAAAAATAAATTTATATATATATATATTATACATGTATATATATATATATAATATATATATATATATTATATATGTATATATATATATATAATATATATATATATTATATATGTATATATATAATATATATATATATATATATATATATATATATATATATATATATATATATAATATATATATATATATATATATATACAATTTTTAAAGGGTTTTTATATTTTCGAATTTGTACTTCATGGCTGATGATTGCCAATAGGCATGAAACTTTAAGATCCATATAAAGTTGTTTTTTCTACATTTTATATATCTATATACATATATATATATATATATATATATTTATATATATATATATATATAAAATATATATATATATTATTATATTGTATTTGTTATATAAATTACAATAAAAATTACACGGTACAGATATGAACCATAAGTTCATCAATAGCTAGCAAGCTAGCTTGTATAGCTGCAATACAGCCACAAAAAATGATGCACTGTGGTAACTATGTGAGTTGCTGGTCTATTTTTTTTTTAAATTGTCAATAGTAGGGGCGTTGACAACATCATCTGGCAGAGCATTTATAGTATTCGCAACCCGATTGTTGAAAAAGTTAAGTCGAACAAGACAGTTGCTATTAATTTTGCGATGAAAGCATTTGCAATGACCATAGATGGGAGGAATGTATATTGGGTCAATATGTCAGTTGATTAATTCAGTTTTATTTTGAATTTTGAATTTTTTGATAAGGTCACCACGTTTTCTGCTTTCACTTAGTAAAGTTAGTCCAAGTATAGCACATCTTGTTTTGTAATCAAGGTGCTTTAATTCATGAGGTATTTTTGTGGCACAATGTTGTATTTGTTCAATTTCAGTCATGTGTTTATTAAGGTGAGGGTACCAGGTGGTGATAGCATATTCTAAATGTGGACGTACATAAGTTGTTTAGAGGTTTTTCCAGACTTTTACATCTTTGCTAACAAAGGTATGTATGTATGTATGTATGTATCACGGCTGTTTCACTCAATATAAAAGCGAGCCTGACGTCACGAGTTTATCAAAAAAAAAAGTATTTCCGCATAAAAAGTATAAAAATTCATTAACTTTAAAATAATAGTATTTTTTTTCTATAAATGCTTTCATCTTCAAATAAAAAAAATATAAAAGATCTATCTTTCCTTGTCAAATAAACATTTACATTAAACGGAATAAAAATGAAAGCTGTAAAAATATTGTTAATAATTTGGCATCACTTTTCTGATTTTTGCGATTTTTACGCAAAACCTGTCTTAGGCCAACTAAGATTTGATAACATAGCTACATGGTCGATGGTTGAAATTTAGAACAGTTATTAATGAATGTCTGTTCTATCTAGATTTCCACAGACTTTGCAAGTTTTTATATAGAAAGTTAGTTTTTAATGCATTTATATTTTTGTTTTTATTCGTTTTGAATAAAAAACATAACATTTTTGAAAAGTCTGTGGATTTAGTAATACTTCAACCTTATATGAATAAGAAAATCAAAAAATTATTTTCTGTACCTCTAGCTATGTTATCAAATATGTTTTCAAACTTGGCATGTTTAGCGACATTTTTTTTAGTTTTT